GAAACCCCAATGTTTCCGGGAAGGAAAATCCTGAGTAGGGAGGGGCACTACGTACTAGCGGTTTTCGTGAGTCAGTACTGACGTCTCCACACACTGACATTAGATATGTAAACACGCATTATATATCTCGTACCGAACTGGCAAAACTTGCGATTTTGGCTTAACTAGCAACGCTCTTCTTGCCGAAGAGGGTAGATAAATTAGACACATGTGCAACACTTGGGTATCTTTAATGAGGAAATGTTTCGCCAGACAGTGGCTTCATCAGTCCATACAAAGGAGAATGGTGAAGAACAGGAGGAATTTGAGGTAATCAGTTCCTCAGCGTTGAGTCAATGTAGTCAGTCCATCAATCTTGAATAGAATACAGCATATGTGCGAAGAAGTAGCTGATCATCATTCTCCTTTGTATGGACTGATGAAGCCACTGTATGGCGAAACGTTCCCTCATTAAAGATACCCAAGTGTTGCACATGTGTCTAATTTATCAACTTGTCGGTTCTTTGAACCATTCATCTACATTCCGAATAAGGTAAGCAAAAATTTTTGTATGCAATAATTTCGCAAAAGTCATTCTGAAACTACCGAAAAATATGTATTTCACTGTTTGTTTCTTATTAAATTATTGTAAACTTATCTAAAATATTAGTTGGATTAGGCTAAATTAAACTGCGCTTGTTAAAATAAGGTTAGGTAAATTTTCTAAGGTTCTTTTGGCACAAACTTGTTAATTTTTACATTAACATAAATGAAAAAAATATATCTTTAAATGTATAAGAGAAAGTTTTAGAAAGGACTTAATTTTAAATGAGTTCTTGCTAACTGACCAATTTTACCTATTCGGCATGACATTTTTATATATATATATATATATATATATATATATATATATATATATATATATATATATATATATATATATATATATATATATATATATATATTGTACTCGCCTAATTGTGGTTGCAGGGGTCGAGACTCTGCTCCTGGCCCCGCCTCTTCACTGGTCGCTATTAGGTCCTCTCTCCCTGCTCCATGAGCTTTATCATACCTCGACTTAAAACTATGTATGGTTCCTACCTCCACTACATCACTTGCCAGACTATTCTACTTCGTTACAACTCTATAACTGAAGAAATACTTCCTAACAACCCTTTGACTCATCCGAGTATTTAACTTCCAATTGTGACCCCTTGTGTCGGTGTCCCCTCTCTGGAACATCCTGTCTCTGTCCACCTTATCTATTCTTCGTAGTATTTTGTATGTCGTTATTATGTCTCCCCTAACTCTCCTGTCCACCAGTGTCGTCAGGCCGATTTCCCTTAACCTTTCTTCTTAGGACATTCCCCTTAGCTCTAGAACTAGTCTTGTTGCAAACCTTTGCACTTTCTCTAATTATTTGACGTGCTTGATTAGGTGTGGGTTCCAAACTGATGGTGCATATTCCAGTATGGGCCTGACGTACACGGTCTATAGAGTCTTGAACGATTCCTTACTGAGGTATCGGAACACTATTCTCAGGTTTGCCAGGCGCCCATATGCTGCAGCAGATATCTGGCTGCTGTGTGCTTCCGGAGACGTGCTCAGTAGTCTTTGGCCACCTAGCCTATACTCTGCGGTGTGTGTGTGAAATTGTTATACTCGTTGTCTCTTATGATGTGTCACACTACTGTGTTAAAGTTTAACAATGGGACATCTGTTTCGCCTACATGCGCTTGCGTTGGATATATATTACTGCCATGCCTAAGAAATATCTAATCTCACATACTTTGTTGACATATGTGCAGGTGGGACCGTGTGCACTGTTGGTGTGTAGACATGTTTGTAATTATATGACAGGGAAACAGTTACACTGGGAACAAACGCTAGCTATCATACAGAACAGGACAGCAGCACACTGCTGATGCATCCAATTTTACTATATAAAACAAAGGAGACATCGTGGGTCACAGCAGTGCTAACGTCTTCACAGTGACCTCGGTAGTGGCTGCATGGATCACTGTAGTACTAACGTCTTCACTGACGTTGGTACTGGTTGCATGAATCGCTGTAGTAGGGACGTCTTCACAGTAACGTCAATAGTGACTGCATGAACCAATGTAGTACTGACATCTTCACAGTAACGTCAATAGTGACTGCATGAACCAATGTAGTACCGACATCTTCAAAGTAACGTCAATAGTGGTTACATGAACCACTATAATGACGTCTTCACATTGACGTCAGTAATGGAGTGGGATATTTATATGCTGAAGGGATCTTGATCCAGGCAATTGGAGCTACCCACCCTTTCCTTGGATCAAACTAAATTACCTCCCAAACCCTAGACGCTATATGACTTGCTTTAGTTCTTCCCCATGATTATTTTAACAGATTATAATATGGAGCCCGTAGCGTACACAACGAGCTTTCTTTTTGTCTTCCAACATAGACAGTCGTTTTGGAACAAGTTTTCAGTCATTACTGTACTTATGGGAAAGTGCTAGACCCGTCGGGGGAGCATACGGCGCCTGGGTAATGGGAGTGTTCATGGGTCTATCCTAAAAAGTGGAGGACATATTCAATTACTTGCACCCGTAACAAGTCTCTTCTTGAATAAGAATTGAACTATCAGTTAAGAAGGACAGTGCTACTGAGCAGTGCCCAAGGACTGAGTGCAATGGCCAGTGCCATTAATGACTTATACTGCCACTGGTGTCCTTGGTGGGTAATCAGAAGTGAGAAGTGAAAGACAAGGCAGACACAGCAATCATGTCTTCCGTGTGTAAGGTGTCTGTCCTTACCCACACCACCTGACCACCACTGAGGTAGGTTCCTGTGCTACCCATATCATGCACCTAGGTAGGCCCTTGTACCATACCACCTAACCACCACTGAGGTTGGTTCCTGTGCTACCCACACCATCTGACCACCACTGAGGTAGGCTGCTGTGCTACCCACACCACCTGACCACTGAGGTATGTTTTTGTGCTACCCTCACTATATGATGACCATAATGTGAACGAGCTCATGACTCAAATGATTAGAGTTAATTTCTCCCTGGATCAAATCAAACTATCTCCCATTTCACATGCGGTGAATGACCCGTACGGGTTCAGCGCTTCCCCATGAGCCTAAGCAATGATATGGTAGTTGCAACGTTATTTTTAATATTAAACATCAACGAGGCGGACGAATATGGAAAGTATCGTTAAGTATGAAAAACACGTCTTTGTGTCAATTTAGGCTGTAGTCAAATATCCACTACTCAAACACTAGGTTATGTAAACTAGTGAAGAAAAAAACAACAAATACTGTGTGTGCGCATCTATCTTTCCTGAGTACTTTGGTATTTAACATGCAATTGACATACTTTTCCGCGTATATAACACTGGCACAAGCAACACACTAAGACATCTTCATGAAACAGTCATAACAGGATACATACTATAAGACGAACATATATCAATGTGCACTTTAGTCTCAGACTTTAATGAAATCCTATTTTATATATTCAAGTAATCTTAATTTTGTGGCCCGGTGGCCTGGTGGCTAAAGCTCCCGCTTCACACACGGAGGGCCCGGGTTCGATTCCCGGCGGGTGGAAACATTTCGACACGTTTCCTTACACCTGTTGTCCTGTTCACCTAGCAGCAAATAGGTACCTGGGTGTTAGTCGACTGGTGTGGGTCGCATCCTGGGGGACAAGATTAAGGACCCCAATGGAAATAAGTTAGACAGTCCTCGATGACGCACTGACTTTCTTGGGTTATCCTGGGTGGCTAACCCTCCGGGGATTAAAAATCCGAACGAAATCTTATCTTACAGATGAATTTTGGCCTTGTTGACTCGCGCGCAGCCAACAGACTTTAAAACCTAATACAAACGTTGTATATAGTGAAAAATGTGAATCATTGCAAACACACCAAGGAATAGGTTTGTGTGTGTATAAATACACTGAGAGGTATGTACACTGACAGTTTACGGGAGTTCCTGCTATAGTTTAAAATAGTCAGGAGGTGAACTGAAGCTATACTGACCTTCGTTCAGTCCACATAACTGATGTGATCATAACTTGATACACAAATCATTCATGTTCCTGAACTGATAGTAAAATATACTCTCAAGAAGTAACATTCATGTTCCCATTAGGAACATGTTTTTAATATAATCATGATAATTACCTATACTGAGTCAATGATTCACTTCGCTTTTATCAGTCACGAGAGAAACTGTCAACAAAAGCTTGTTTTACATCTTGTAGAAAAGTACTGAGGACTTAACCGCGGGTGGGCATTACATATAACACATTTGAAAAAACTAATGCAATGCGTAAGGTCTACGATACATAATACTAAACCTATATTCATGTCACATGTTCAATTCAATCCCCAAGTGTACCTACACTAGGAGGTAAATCTATACAATATATTTAGAGACTCCTGTGTATATATACTCATGCACAGCTGTGTACTGTATTATACACACCTTTCTGTGCATATAGATACATAACTGTGTACTGTATATACACTGAAATACACCTTTGGATGTGTATAAACAGATAACCACTTTAGTGTATATACAGAGACACTCGTCTTTCGATATGTATACATGATAAACACACCTCTTGGTGTGCATATCCTGTAAACAAATTAGGTAAATGCATATTTCATTGGGCCTCATAGCATACGCTGATACACGTTTGCTGACGTATTGGGCGCCCCAGTGAGCAGATGTTCAGTTGTCTCAGGTATTTAACACACTTGTACTCGTGTTCGAGGCCAACCTTAACACGCTAAACACTTCAAAATTCCAGTTTTAAATTTAAATTCAGGATAACGAATTATTAGTGTTATGTTAACAACATAGGAAATTATAAAATGCCTTGGGAATAAATAGGTTTAATCCAAGAAGGCAGTTTCAATTCTTGGATCAAGAGCCCGTCACCAGCAGCAAAGAATCGTCACTGAAGGGTTTACATTTGGCAAAAATAGCGCAGAAGTAATGTGAAAGATACGTACGTTGACGTTTGTGCTTGAAGGCTACCACGAGAGACACTGGTGATATCAACGCACCAGAGCAGCGTTATCAGAGCCCTGCTGGTAGATTGGTGCTACCTGAGTGGTGTTGTAAAGTGCCTCTGCTCCTCCTGAGCTTCAACCGCGGCTAAAAAAGCAGTGAAACAGAGAAGTTGCCACAGTATGAACGCAAGAGCAGCCACAGGAAGGTTCTTTTAAGATAGACACGATCCGCTTGCCAGTAGGAAAACAGAGAGAGCTCGCTGGCCCCCACCTGTACCTCGTAGCGCCAGGTAGTGTACTGAAGAGCCGGCGACGGTGCACCAGCAGTGTGGGGGAACCACTACTCTGGGAGTTCCCCCACACCCCAGGATCAACACCCCCATCCCCCGCACTCTTCTTTCCCCCACCACTGCACCTATGCACTTAACAAGAAACCTTCCAACAGGACATCAAGCTAGCCAGGCAGTGGTGCAACACATATGACGTTTGACGTGGGTACGGAAACGAGAAAATGTATGCTTGAGGCAAACCACTGGCCAAGACCACACCAGACGTGGTCTTCAAGATCAGACTAGACCTGATCGTCAAGACTACATGGGCTAGTCAGCTACTGGTGTTTGCTAGCTCTTTGGGTGACAAGGTGACGCAGTTTCTCAGAGACGTCACTTAAATGTATACTGTCATTAAATTAACAAGAAAGCACTAAATCCTATTTCATACAGAACTACGTACGTATGTATGTAATACACGAGTATGACATATGCACGAATTACATCAGAACGTTAGATCTGTACAAATTACACTGGTATGTTGCATGTGTACGACTTACATCAGCATGTCAAAAGCGTGCTTTAACATTTCGAAAGAAAATTTCAAATTCAAGGTGATTGCCAAATATGCACTAAAAAAAATTCCATCGCTGGGTTCAATTGTGCATTAAATTAATGGCATACAGTATCTTCAAGTTTAGTGAATATCAAATGCGCCATACCTGGGTATCTTTATTAAAGTGATGTTTCGCCTGCCCAGCAGACTTTTTCAAACTAATATGGAGGCGACTTATAGAAGACAGTGGAAGAAATGAAGAGGTAATTTTTGAGGTATTAAGTATTTCAGCCTTGATAGAGTTTAATTCATCCCACAACACGTCCTTCAATAAGGGCTACCATTCTGAGTGTGAAGAATAGGACCCGTCTAGCTTGGAACAAGAGGCATGTTTAAGTGCGCCTTTATCTTATGTTCAAAGCAACTTATGGTACAAAACAATTCCCAGAAACTCACACTTCTAAATAACGACAGTGTAACATGAGGGGTCAACTGTGCACCTTTCACCTTCAACTAAGCACCTTGAAGATCCAGGAGCGCCAGCGCACTCAGCTCACACACTGAGATCCGGAGTTCGAATCTCCGGTACGGCTGGAAAATACGAGTGACGTGTTTCCATAAGACACTTGCTGTCCCTGTTTACACATCAGTATAAAATGGGAACTTGGGTGTTAGTTGACTGGTGTGGGTCGCATCCTGGGACAAAACTGACCTAATTTGCCCGAAATGCTCAGCATAACAAGCGGCTTTCTATATAGTAGTATGTCATTGATGTCAGCTAGACCTGTATACCTTGTACATGTACTTGTAGTAAATAAAAGATATTTTATTTATTTATATTTTAAACTTCGCCCTCACAATATGAAGTTTCAGTCTACCGCCAAAGAACTATCTACCATCCGTACCCCTATAATTACCTGGTCACTTTCCTCTTTATATTTCATCTGTCGAAGAGGACCTCATATATATCCATTTTTTGAGTTTCTCTCTCCATGCGGAATATTCAGCACTGACAAGTGTTCATTACACAGTCATATATATACACGAGTGTGTGTGTGTGATACTTTGCGAATGAGAAAAACATGAATGACATCATGAAACTTGCATTTCAAACATTTCAGCCAGCTCCCCAGAGGTAGGCTGTGCCCAAAATGCTGGAGGCATTTCTTTTGAATTGCGAAACTGAATCTCTAGAAAAGAAAGTTAGTCGCTATGAAAATGATAGGATGAATAATGAGAACCTTCAAAACTAGGAATGCCAATCCCATGATCGTTCTCTTCAAATCGCTTGTTCTCTCTGGGCTGGAATATTGCTTTACACTAACGGCCCTTTTCAAGGCAGGCGAAATTGCAGATCTAGAGAATGTACAGAGAACTTTCACGGCACGCATAAATACGACAAAGCACCTAAACTACTGGGAACGGTTAAGTCCCTTGATTTGTATTCCCAGGAACGCAGGCGAGAAAGATACATGATAATATACACTTGGAAAATCCTAGAGAGACTAGTCCCAAATTTGCATACGATAATCACTCCCTACGAAAGCAAAGAGTGGGCAGAAGATGCAACATCCCCCCACTGAGAAGCAGGAGCAGCACGAGTACGCTAAGAGACAACACAGTGTCAGGGGCCCAAGACTGTTCAACCGCCTCCCAGCATACATAAGGGGGATTACCAATAGACCCCTGGCTGTCTTCAAGAAGGCACTGGACAGGCACCTAAAGTCAGAACTTGATCAGCCGGGCTGTAGTTCATACATCGGTCTACGTGCGACCAGTAGTAACAGTCTGGTTGATCAAACCCTGATCCACCAGGAGGTCTGGTCACAGACCGGGCCGCGGGGGCGTTGATCCCCGAAACCCTCTCCAGGCATACTCTGGGCCCTTGGTTTCCTTGACAGGCTTGTCACCTAACTCATTCAGAAACCTGAGTGTTCACTTTATGATGCAAGGGTCTCCGATCATATTTGGAACGAAGTTGCATCATACTATCAAGTCCCTGTGTTGGTGGGTCTTCTGGGTCTTACTGCAAATGTTGGCACTACCTTCACTATCTTCGGCCTAACGGAGGTAGGTGTAGTCCCATGCTTTCAGCTTATCGTCTTTCCTGGTTAAATTAGAAACTAAAGTAGGTACAGAATTTAGGTTGTTTAGGGAAGCGACGAACATACCTACATGACAATTTTTTTTCTAAAGTCTATGGAAGGAGTGGAGGTTGTGGAAAGATGACTTCGTCATGGGTAGAAACATTGGGCATGTTTCTTTACACCTGTTGTCTATATTCACCCATCAGTAAAATGGGTACCTGGGTGTTAGTCAATTGGTGTGGATCGCATCCTGGGACACTAGCCTAATGTGCCCGAAATGCTCAGCATAACAAGGGGCTTTCTATATAGTAGTATGTCATTGATGTCAGATAGGCCTGTATACCCTGTACATGTACTTGTAGTAAATAAAGATATTATTATTATTATTATTATTATTATTATTATTATTATTATTATTATTATGTGCATAATTCTAAATACAGTTGCGGAATGTTATTACATTCATGGGGAGAGGGTTAATCCCACAGGAGCTATACAGCTCTGGAGGATTGGAAGGTATTCAGGTTTTATTAAAGGAATTGAAACACAGGTCTTACTCCGCAGACCAAGTGATCCTCACCAGCAGCAAGGAACCGCCTATGAGGGGTAAAGTATAATAAAAACTGGTCAGTGATGCGACTGAACCCACACGGGGAGAAATGAACACAAGGCAAGAAGAATGCTGTATATTTTGGCCTAATATTGGGCCCTCTTCCATTCATTTCTTCCCTCAAGGTAAATGGTTCCTTAATGTTGGTAAGTGGCTCTTGATCCAAGGAATTGGACCAGTCCTTCCCTTCCTAGGGCTGAACCAGGCACTCTATGATCCCTATTGGTTTAACACTTCCTATATATGTAGGAATAATAATTAAACTCATTCTATGATCTCTATAGGTCTAGAACTTCCCATGTAATAATAATAATAATAATAATAATAATAATAATAATAATAATAATAATAATAATAATAATAATAATAATCCAACTTATTCAGTGGGCATAAACAAATTTCCCGCTGCCATAGAGTTACATGCTTCGCCTCACCCCAAGGTAGGTCATATATTATTATATTTAGGAAGATAAACGCTAAGCTAATAGGGGGACATACAGCGCCTGGGGAATGGAAGGTTATAGTTTTGATCCGAGGAAGGAGAGGACAAGAGTCTTTCATTAAAACTGGTCACCATTTAACCCACATTTACCCTTGCCTAAGTACGGCGATACTTCTTTAAATTCATTTATTCTCAGGTGAAGAGACCTTGTGACAAGGCATTGGCTAGAATATGGCCTCACCAACACTGCGTTGGACAGAGTTTATTACATAGTAGTGAGCGCACATCTTGAATCGCATTTCGTACTGGCTGCCCTTAATTCTTCCCTCGGCACTCGCCTCAACCCTCTTGACTATTGGTATCGGCAGAAATACCCTGACTTTGCTCCCTGTAAATAAAGCATTACCACGTGTGTGTGTGTGTGTGTGTGTGTGTGTGTGTGTGTGTGTGTCAACAATCAATATTTGCACCAATAACTCATTACAGTTGTGACCGGGTGTGGAAGTGTGAATTGCTTATTACTCTATAATTTGTTATGATCGTAGCCATTTATAAACGTAAGTAACGATACTTGCAGGATTCATTACTTTTGTAACTTGCGAATTCATTACCTTTATATCTAGTTCAGCTATCAAAACTTTGAGGCCCAGTCCCTGGACCCATTATGTACCTCTGTAATCTTTTGACTACCGCCCGCAGGATGGGTATGGGGTGCATAATAAAGATATTAAACTAACTAACCATGACGTTCGCCTTGGCACCCCTATCCTCATGGAATGGAAATGTTAAAAAGAAAACATTACCTTTATAGAGGTACATAACGTTTCGCTCACATGTAGTGAGGTTTCTGCAAGTTCACTTTCAGAATGTTCAATACATGTGAATGAAACATCGCGTACTTCTATAAAAGTTCTTTAATGTCTTGTTTGTTGTTGTTGTTGTTGTTGTCACTACTTGTCAGCTGTAGCCACAATTTATGGAAAGGAAGTGTATCTGCGGCATTACATCGGCAGACTCACTTAGACTCCATGATCCCATTTACCCTAGATCACAGAGAAAAAAAAATACAAAAAATGAAGAGACTCATATTATTCAGCAAAGCCTCACCACAGCCTGAAGCCCAGGATGACGGAACTGCCACTACGTAGAAGCACTGGTAGCTAGAAACAAAGATGACTCAACAGGTTACCCATATGCATCAACACGTGTACATCAACATACATCGACGATTATCTCCCAACACAGCGGAATAGAATATATTACAGTAGTATACACAAAAAACTTTGAACATGCAGGAGATGACTATATCGTCGCACCGGTGAGGTATGTATAGTCTGGCCTCC